CCACTATCAACAAATCTACATGATTCAGAATGGGGAGAGAAAAAGAAAATCAGAACGTACCTAATTTGAATGGAAATTTCAACAGTAACACGTAGGAGCAACTACAGATCCAAAAGACAAACAAAATGACCAGATACCTTGCTTTCATGCCTGGTTTGACTTCCACAGTTTTATCAGAAGCATGAACTACACGAACAGTGACTTCCCCAGACTCAGGGTGATTCTGTCTCTTCAGAAATTCATTCACTCGAGTCTCCAGGAAGGAGCCAAGCCTAGTAGATGGCAACCCTAGGAACATAAAAATCAAGTTCAGCCATCACCAAAGCACAGAGTATTATTATCATCAGTTTTAAGGGGCAACTAAAAATTTCTTTCCTCAATATAAACCAGACTAACTTAGTGGAGTTTAAAAATGCTAGCGAGGTGGTCAGTACATTTTTTCACCATTATGGAACACTTTACAGATCTGGATCTCATGTTTGCAGAAAGGTCATTCTAGCCATCTAGATCAGTTCAGTTTTAGTGTACGTGAAGCCTAAGCATGTATACAGGAGTAACTAAGGAGTACATTAAAAAGGCAAAGTCACTCCACTGCCAATGAGTCAGTTGCAACTCAAAGTGATCATACAGGACAGAGAACGGATATTCTTTAGTTTCCAAGAATATTCTCCCTTTCATTGTGAAAGAGTTAACCGAAAAACGGATAACTATATTTCAAAGCAGTTATAGAACTCAAGAGGAATTTGGAACATTGCTGGAAAGCTAAGTAATCCAAATACAAAGGATTATTAACACAAATGGCTTCTAACATTTTGTACCCACCATCCACCCCTCCTCAATGAGAAAGGTCACACATGACCTAAAAGCAGGCTTTAGTGACAACACTGATAGTTCTGAGGGACTGCTCACAGCACAGCACGTCTGAGCAAACATTTCCACATCTGGCCCACAGCAGGCAAGGACATTTTTCACCTGAGAAGTCTTAAGTCTTATTTCTTAGAACCTGTTCCTTTTTCCTTAGGACTAATGAATTACTGTTGTATCACCACAAAGTACACTATGGTTTAATTTTAAATAAATTACAGTGATTTTTACTTTGATTTATTAATTTTAAGTTTGTAGCAAATATAGCTTGGTTAAGTTTTACTAAGCTTGTTTTGGACGACAAACTTACTTTTGGCAGAAAACTTATTTTCTTTTCTAGTTCTTCCAGTTTTCTTTAAACAGCCATCACAGATAAATCTGAAATATAAAGCAAGGCTCTGGTCAAACAAAGAGTTAACACATACAGTAAAATCTAGAAAAAAGGCTTTTACTTAAATTTGGAAAACAGACACTAATAGGAAGAAATAAAATGAGCAGTAGAAATAAATGAATCATATCTACAAAGAGGCTCAAGGTTTGAAAATTAAAGGACACTCTTTGACTTAATAGTAAGACACAAACAATATTATATTGGATAAAGAAAAGACTACTGGAGAGCTGGACAATGAGTAAAGATGAAAGAAAGAGAACTGATGCCCTTGAGCTGTGGTGTTGGAGAAGAGTCTGAATATACCATGGACTACTAGGAAAACAAACAGGTTTGTCCTGGAGACGGTGAAGCTGGGCTGCTCCTGGGAGGGAAGGATTCTGAAGCATCATCTGACATACTCTGGGCATGTTGTAAGGAGGGACCGGTACATGGAGACGAAGACCCTCAATGAGATGGACTGACTGAGTGACTGGGGTAATGGGGGTAGGTGTGTCAGAGATGGTGAGATTGGAACAGGATAGGGCAGAGTTTAGGGCTGTGGTCCACAGGGTTGCTATGAGCCACAGGCGACTCGACGGCACATAAGAACCACCACCACCATCACCACCACCATCATTATCCTAATAGTTTTTCACCACCCAGGTGAATATTCCTAAGTAGGTAGAATGATTACGTCTCTTAAAAATTTATTATGCTCATGGCAAGAAGCTACACTGCAATCCCAGGGGTATATGGTTCGAATCCACCAGATGTTCTGCTGGAGAAGGAGGGGCAATGTCCTCCTATACCAGTCAGATCCGATTTGAGAGTTGTTGTTGTTATGTGCCGTCGAGTTGCTTGCGACTCATAGTGACCCTATGTACAACAGCCCTAGACTCTGTTCTGTCCTGTGCCAATAGCACTGTCTCTGACACTCCCATCCTAACTATCCTAGTCACTGGATCAATCCACCTCATAGAGGGCCTTCCCCTCCTGCGCTGTCCCTCCACCCTCCCAAGCATAATGTCCTTCTCCAAGGACCGGTTCTCCTTACAACATGTCCAAAGTATGTTAGATAGAGCCTCAGAATCCTTGCCTCCAAGGAGCCTCCCGGTTTAACCCTTTCCATGATGAATCTGTTTGTTTTCCTAGCAGTCCATGGTACCCTTAATACTCTTCTCCAGCACCACAGCTCAAAGGCATCAATTCTCCTTCTATCCTCCTTGGTCACTGTCTAACTCTCTGATGCATAACAAGTGATTTGAGAGTATACATACAAAAATAATAATAAAAATTAAAAAAAAATTATTATCCTCTTTGTAAATAAGGACTACTTTAAAAAGGCAAAGTTAAAGCAAAGTCATTCCACTGTCAATGAGTGGATTTCAACTTCAAGTGATCCTACCAGAGAACCACTATCCCCTAGTTTCCAAAGCCAACTGTCTTAATCTACCATGACCAGCAGAGGGCAGGGTGGAGTCTCTAAGACTAAGGAAAGGCCACTCTAACTGGATGTTTAGAGGCCACTCTAACTGGATGTTCCCACCTTCTTTTCAAAACAGCAGGGATCAGCTCACTCCTGCAAAGTGAAAAGTGGCCCACAGCAGTAGACATTTACCCTCCACACACCAAATTGTGCAACCCTGCGATTTCATCCCTACCTATCCTCACTCTTCTGCTCCAAACCCTTATACCCTTGGGTCCCCATACATATCTCTTACAATTAAAAAACCAAACAAATAAATAAAAATTGTTGAGTATTACACCCCCAAAACTTTGAAAAAAATTAAATTGAAATATTTAATCACAAATAGTAATTTTATGAAGCTAGGACACTCCTGAGATGTATGACTCACACACTGTGGACGTACTATCAGGGGAGATGAGTCCCTGAAAAAGGACATCACACTTCATAAATTAGAGGATCGGCAGCAAGAAAACAGACTGACACAGTGGTTGGAATAATGGGCTCAAACATGACAATGGCCAGGAGGACAGTACAGGACAGATGCTCTGTGCACACAGGGTCACTGAAGTCAGAAGTGATACAGTGGCACCTACTCTGGACTATACAAAGACAACAGCAGCCCTTTGCTAAGAGATAATATCTGTGCAATCATGAGACTACGTCCTTTTTATATTTTTTTTATATACACAAAAGGCTAAGATGGAAAAGAAATTTTAAAAAATCAAAGTAACAACCCCCCCCCCAAAAAAAAACCTTAAAAACAAAAACCCAAAGACAGCAACTTTGATGGCAGAATGGGATTGCAAAGAAGGGCGGGAATCAACAGTATTCAAGACGAGGAAAATCCTAGAGAGGATTCTAACGGTGGGCGCCTTACCCAGTCGGCCAGATGACCTCATGATGAAGGACACAAATCTGATGCATCTTCCTCCCACATTCGGTACATTCAACAAACCTGGAATGAAAATCCAATCCAGATTAATCACTGGACTTCCATCAAGTCACCATAGCCATGCCTGACAGTTTAAAACACAGTGCAGAACAAACATGGATTCTGCTGTTTCAAAAGCCAGTTAGCATTCCCAACACAAAATACCTACGGCCATCAGGGCGAGTCCTGCTCACAGAACTCTCTATTAGGTTCCTTAAACTATGACTCTTTTTGAGAGGAAACTGCCCATTTTTCCCTGTGGAGAAGCTGATGGATTTGAACTGCTGTCTCTGCAATTAGAAGTTCAACATGTAACACACAATGCCACCAGAGCTACAGAAAGAGTCATTTTCAAAATCATGTCTACGTTCAGTTTAAATTAAAGTGAGCATGTGAAATGTGACTGGTTTACTGCTGGGGAAACGTTCAGAACACATCCCAGGCAGTTTGATCTTTGGGAATGTCCACAGTATGATACACTCCAGAGCTCCTCCTTCCAAACTCTACACAGGAGGACTTACTGGTGCTCTCTAGCAATCCACTTATCATTCTCAAATCCAGAGGACTGTGTGACTTAGAGGGAAGGATGGTGAAACTTCAGCTCATGTACTTTGGGTATGTGGTCAGGAGGGGTCAGAGAGACAGACAAATATCTTCAACAACACAGGAGAGACAGTGACTGTTACAATGGGCTTGTGCCAATCAGAGACGAAGGACAGGGTATGACAGGGCAAGTGAAGATCTGGTTTTCAAAGGGTCACTAAGAGTCATAGTTGACTTGATGAAATCTAACAGCACCAGCAGCACAAAGAGTGACAGGATGAAATATACAGGAAGGCTAAGCCTGATGGTTACATTTAGGTCTATGAAATACCATCCGAAACATTATCCTAAATACGCCTCCAGTTCTTCAATGTTTTCCACGTATCAGTTATGTCAAGGTCACAAAGACTTAGCGACACATACCAAGGAGAATGAAAAGGGGTGGCAAAACAAAATAAAGTGTACTGAATATTCAAAGTGATCCTACTACTACTTACAGTTCAGGATCCAGTGTGTCATTTTTTCTCTTGGAAAATTGTTCTTTATTTATTGTACTAAGGAGAGAAGAAGGAAACAATAAGAAAAAAAAGATACAGAAGGAAGAGCTATCTCACTGTTCTAACCAAAGGGAAGAAACTCTAAGACTGCAAACGGATTATTTAAACCCTCTAAAGAATAAACCAAAATAAAGGGATAATTGGCTAACACAAAATGAACATTTCTATGAAGGAATGCTTGTGCTGTGGAAGGACTTTACAGAAAACTGATTTGCTCAAACAGAAATGGAGAATTCAAGAACAACAATTCTTTTTTTCCTCTGAAAAATCTTAATCTACTCCTATTGGTAAGAAATAGTTAAACGGTTTTATGGTTCAATTTTCTTAGACTGAGCTAGTAGTTTATTACCGCTCACTTCAAATTCTATTTAATAGAATATTCTTTCCAATCTAGTCAGAGAATTCCAGACTCAGTCTGGAAATTGGCTGGTTTTCCTCAGCAGCATTCTATCATTCTGTTTCAGTCATAAATAACTGCTCTTCTGGTTAGCTTGTTTAATACACTAAATTTAATATTTAATAAAAATATTAAAGGTACAGTAAACAGTCCTAACAAAACAGTCTAAAATTGAAAGATAGTCTCTTAAGTTTCTAATACACAGATGAGAAGTCTTACTAGGCAACTTAGACTAAATTTCAAAACTTGATTTACTCTAATCAATTCCTAACCTTAGAGGTTTTTAAACTGAATTCAATAATAGAGATATTTCAATTCTCAAATGAAAGATCATTCTTTATACTAACTTTTCCATCTTAAAGGACAAGCTAATTCCTTATCTGTGCTGTGCTACGTGGTAGCCACGAGGCCAATGTCAAGCATGGCCAGCACACTAATTTTACAAATGGTTACAGACGGCTAATGGCTAACAATACCAGCCACTGTAGCTTTGGAGCTAGGGCTCATTCCTTACAAATGTGAAATCATCACTTGACATAAAATTGAGACCGTATGTCAGCATTTTAAAATAAGACAGTTACTTACGTTTGAGGCTGGGAAGGGTCATCCCCCAAAGAAACGCTCTCCCCTTGGATTTCATTGAAACACTTCTCACAGAAATGATACCTGTCGGCAAGAAGGCCATACTGGGGTGAACTGTTCCGTCCACACAACACAGCCAAAGCCAAGCAACGAAGGCACCAATCACAGCAGGCCAAGGAGGGGGACGGGAGCAGAGAGCAGGTCATCAACGGCGACAAGGACATTCAATGATGCAGATTTATGGGCCCCACAGTTTTTGTATTTATTTTTAGTTTTTTGCAATCAAAGCCAAGTGCAGACAACGACAAGCATGAGGGAGAAAAAAAAAACACAAAACAAACGAAGAAATGAGGGATTGCAAGACAACAAAAAACATAAAAGCAAGACAGGACAACACAAAGCAGAAAGCCAAGGCAAAGCACAGATTAGCATTAAGTATCTTCAATGGGGTCACAAGTAGCAAATGATTACAGCAAATACAGGTCTCACTTACAAAGACTTACACCTTTATAGAGTTCAATAATTAACACTTTTTAAATACAAATTAAAAAAAACAAGACAAGGTACAGGAGAACTACTGCCTGACCATTACTTATTCGTAGCAAGCACACAGTTTCTCCACTTGCAAAAATACTTCTAAGCCTTCTATGGTTACAAGAGTAGGAATGATAATAGACAACATAAACTGTTAAAAAAGGCTTTTTCATGAAAAAGCCCAAGAAATCCTATCTGGAGCCGTCAACTGGTTCAGCCAGTTAAGAGGCAGGGGTGTGCACAGGTCTGTGCAATTCTTAGGACAACAAGATGATCTAAATTCCAAACTATACCAATATCAATCAAGACTGTAACCCACAAACACTTCATGTGCCAGCTCTTAACGAGCTTTTTGGACATAAGATGGTTCTAAGAACTCGAGCCTCACCTTTCCTAGATTTTAATGATGATAAATTATTACGTGTGCACGCAACTTTTTGTAAACAGAACAAAAAGTTTGTGACTAGGAAAAAGGCTGGGAAAGGAAGCTGTAGCGCACAAGTTCAGTAAAAGCCCACACCCCAACTGTGCAAAGGGCCTGGCCTTAAAGTCATTCAGAGCCTCAATTAAGAACATGGCACATTATTTCACTGGAAAGCACATTCCTGATCACATGTGACTGGATGGATTAATGACTACAGTATCTATAACTATGGTCAACAGGCAGGAGAACAGGGAGAAGTGACAAAGTTGACTGGTATATGCCAATCTTGGTAGGGGAAGTGTCTTGATTTTTGGCTTTATGCTTTTGATTTGCTTAAAAATTTCATTTTTATCACAGCTTGTCCCAACAGCCACTAAATGTTATACCAGAGAAAGTTAAATAAATATAACAGCTTAATAAGCTTTGAAGTTTTCGGACAGGGAGACAGTCCCCAGGTATTTTATAAAGAAGTAGAAAAAGACAAATTATAGACTTCAGAATCTCCATTTTGCACAAGATCTAGTAAGTATGGTAGGATGAAAAGACTTGCTAGGTCCTGGTCTTATTCCACTAAGTAAGAAGGCTCTTCTCTTTTACAACAAAAAGAAGGCCCAAGTGGAGGCTTCTTTCTGTTAAGAAAATTGTACAGTACTGCAAAGAACCAAACGTGTGCGGTACAGCTGTTTTCAAGTAGATTCCCTCTGATCCATGACCACACGTGGTTGGCCCATCAGCATGCTCTCCCTTCACATGGAATACATGTGTCCACACATGGGACTGCTTACCTGTTCTGGTAACTGTAGTAAGTGGCATCTCGAGGGATTGTACACAACTGTTTACCGTAGCAACAAAGTGTCTGTGGAGAGAACTCCAACTGCAAAAGAGACCAGTTGTTAAATGGCAGAGCCCTAAAGGTTTTAACAGGTACATCAGCAAGTCAGACAGTCAGGTAAGTCTTACTCCTCCTACACATTAATGAGAAAAGGACTATTTCCATTACTAAGGACTAAGCCTTCGTAAAAATTTTTAAAATGGGGTAGAGTGGAAGCCTTTTTTCAACAATCATTACATTTAGATACAGGACTATTTTAGCATGATGATTTAAGATTAGCAATTGTATCCCTTCTCACCTTACCTGTGAACTGAACAGGACACATGTTGCTCAACAATATCAAATTCTATGCACAGAAATGTGAATATATTCCACATGATGTGCACATACAGAATAAAATTATCAAATCAAAAAAAAAAAAAATTATCAAATCCCCACCTGAAATGAGTTATTAGTCTAATGAGTTAAGTGTTCTTACTGGTCCAGTTCTGAAGAGAATTAATATTGGTGCAAAGAAATGTCTTTACAGAAGCAATGGAACAACAAATCCTATCCAAGTCACAGCAGTGCATTCTCTTAGCCCAGTCAACACGGTCTAGATCCTCT